ATTCATCTACCCATCATCCGTCTATCCTCCCACCCATCCATCATCCATTTATCCATCTACTCAGCCACCCACTCCCCCATCCACCTGTCCGTCCATCCATCCATCCATCCATCCATCCATCTTCTCTCTTGCTTATTTTTGCACTCTCTCTCTCTCATTTGTATAATGAAAATATATCGAGGTCTGCTCTGGCCTGGAGGATATAAGGGCAAACACTGTCCCTGTCCTCCAGGAACCAACACGGCTGAGGGGAGCATCTGTCCCATTTTATCTAAGAGCTGCTTCTGAGAGTGCCCCTCCCTCCCCTCTGTGAGACTGGGAGCCCCTGTCTCCGTCACGGCCTGTGGCACAGGACCTGGCACGAAGCCGGAGCACCTGCACGTGTGTTGCTTGAACTCCCTGGGGGTAGTGAGGGGGTTGGACAGTCCAGGTAGGTGGGAGAAGTTCGTAGACTCTTAAGGAATGGTGGTGACAGGCATATGTTAAAAGAAGACTTAGAGGACCTTTTGAGGGGAGAGGAAAGTCTCCTGGGCCCCTTTCCCTGCCAGGTTTCTGGTTGGGGGGATGGGGCGCTCGCTTCCCTCTCTCCTGACCCACGTTTTGCCCCTGGGTCTGAAATGCAGCCATTTCAGTGATGTGATGTGTCCTTGGTGATCCCCACGTGACAGCTGAAGGGGAGGGCACAGAGCTTGGGGGCCAGGCCAGATCAGCTCCCTCTGGGTGGCTGGGAGACCCCTGGACAGGACGCAGCACCTCGAGGGGCTCCTTATAAGCTGTGCTGCCCTCTGCCCTCCCTTCTCTCCCGGGCTGACCTCTTCGTTCTCACAAAGCTGCCCTTTCCTTCCCGCCTTGAAATCTGATAATGAAACTAATACCCAATATTTTTGCCTCTAAGAGAGGCAGGAGATAAACAGGAAGGCGTGAGGGATTAAGGTGTCTTTCCAAGGAAGGGGCAGGGGACGGGCTGGGAGCTGGGCGACACCCTGTGTGGAGCCAGGAGATCCAGATGTGAGCTGCTTTGCCTGACGCATTTTTCCATTTGTGCAGAGAAAATAAAACAAAGAGAAAAGAAAACAAGCCGTAAAATACTTTGCAGGAGGCTGAGCGTGGGCAATTGCCACTGATGTCCCCTGACAGCTCCAAGAAGAGGGGGACAGGGCGGGGGCGGGGGGAGCCCTGTCTTTTGATGTTCGGCCTCTGAGCTTTCTTTTGTGTGACCAGTTGTTTGGGAAGAGCTTTTGCTGGTGTAAGGTGCATATGGAAGAGAGATACCAACCAGAGGTTCCCCCTGGGGTGGGGAAGGGGGGGTGCTGAGCTCCGAGGAGGGAATGGGGAACAGCTGGACTGACTTTACAGATGCGGATGCAGGCTTAGCATCTGCCTCCGAGAAGGGTCAGAAGATGCAGCTACTGAGGCCTTTCCCGTACCCGAAAGGCCTGAGGAAGTGACGCCCCGGTGATTCTTCCAGATCCCTGCGACTTCTGTCCTAGTAGGAAAGATCCAGATGCTAAGCTGTCGTCTAGGGCCAGCTGTTCCTTCCAGTGATGTGGGTCCTTTCCTCTGCGGCAGTGGGCCAGGAGCCAGGAGACCTGGGTTCTTGTCCTGGACCCCTATTTACTGGCTCAGTGGTCCCTCTGAGCAGCCCCCTCTCACCCTAGTCTGGCTGAGTGATTCCACAGTGACAGTGAACTTGCATCTTTCCCCGTGCTGGTGGGCAGGGCGTAGCTGAACTTTCTTTGCACCTGACTGAACTCAGCCCCTAGGGCTGGAGGTGATGAGGGGACACTTGTAAGGCTCTTGAGGGTCATTCTCTGGCTTAATTTGGCTCCTGGATGCTTCTTCCAGACTTCAGGCATAAGCTGAGGTCTTTTCTCTTGTGTCACACACAGCATCTCCTCCGGAGCCCTCATCCATCTCTGCTTGTAAGCTGTGTGTGATTTGGAGGTTGATTCTAGGAAGAATATTTAGAGAAGCTTATCATAACAGAGAAAAATTACAGAGGCAAAATTTTTTTAAATCACAAAAGTAATATGTGAATAAGAAATGGGTAGAAATAGTTGCAGCTCGGATATAAAAAAGACAAATGGTTTTTAATCCATCGTCTATAAGAGTACTAGACATCGTAAGAAAAGAACCCACCTTTTTTGCAATTTGGGCAAATGGCATGAACAGGCAATGCATACACACACAAAAAGAAATATAAATAGAAAAACAAACACACGGAGAAATGTCCAGTCTCACTGGTAATCAAAGACATGCCATGCAAATTAAAATTGTGTGTGTGTGTTTTCCAGATGAATGGGCAAAGGCTAAAAAAAAAAAAAAAGAATGCTGATACCAAATGCATACTGTTATTCTCTTCTAGGGTGTGGAGAAATAGGAACTCTCATATCCTGCTGGTGGGAGAGTAAACTAGGACAGCGTTTCCTGAGGGCAATTGAGATCCCGAGTTGAGAACACCAAAATTTAACCTGGCGATTCTGCCCTGAGAAATTTACCGTACGACAGTCATCAGAGCAGAGTACAGATGTGCATGTTCACAGGTGGTTACCACTGTGTTGTCTGTAATAGTGAAAAACTGGAAATAACTACCCAACCTGGGAAGACAGTGCTTTTAACTGCATCAGCTTCTGATTCCAGGGAGCCCATTTCGTGTATGCATACAGTGGAGGACTTTCAAAACTATGAAGGACATTATCTGACATTAAAAAAAATGTTCATCATTATGAGAAGATTGGCTTGGAAGCGCGAGGTACAAGTATGATCCATGTGTGTAGGAAAGAATTAAATAGCTCCACAGCTGAGCAAATGTTAATTAAAGCCTGCAAGGAGAGACCCAGTATTAACAGCAGTGGGTGGAGATTTGAGTGTGGTTTTTTTTTTTTTTTTTTTAACCTTTCTGCTTTTGTTTTTCAAGTGTCTGGTATTAAGCGTGTGTTTCTTTAACAATTACATAAAATGCGATTTAAAGCAAGCTTAGCACAAAAGCAAGGGCAAATCGTGTTGTAGAGTGAGCGAGATGAGGCCAGATTTAAGCTGGAGGCATCCTGGAGTCAGAAGCCTAAAGGGGAAGCAGGGAACAGTGTCACAGGGTGATATGAAGAGGGCTGTGTAGGGGCTGTGCTGGATCCCTAGGGAGCTCAGACCCCCCTGAGTGCAAGCCAGGCTGGCCGGAGGCGAAGATGGGCCTGGACGTGACATTGAAACCAAGACACGGAGGTTGGGAAGGATGCAGGCAGATGAGGAAGGGGCTTGAGAGCAGAGGGTCCAAGGAGGCAAGGAACGGCAAATGCAAAGCCACAGAGCGGACAGGTGACGGGTCCTCACACGTGGCATGCTCCAGAAACTGACAGAGTTTGATACAGCTTGAAGCATAAGAGGAGAAAGGGGAGTGATCAGAACGACGGCAGAGGGGCGCGGGGAGAAGCAGGACCTGTTTATTCAGAGCCCGGGAGGCCGTGTTAAATGATTTAGATTTTATTCAGTGGGGAGCCAATGGAAGATTTTACACAGGTGCTGGACATCTTCAGATACGTGCTTAGAACTCCTGCTCTGCTTACAGTGTCGGGAGCTTGGGGGGCTCAGCTCAGGTGACAGAGGGGCCAAGGCCTGACGGATGGAGAGCAGTGAATGGGTCTGGGGAAGGCGCCTTAGGGTCCACATAGAGTCCCCAAAGCAGAAGCCGGCAATGTGGATTTGGGAGACAGGAGCACAGAGGCGGGCACTGCCGTGAGGGGTGGACGAGGCAGACTGGGGACAGCGTCAGAGTAGAGGGAAAAGGGTGCTGAGTCCAGAGGAGCATGTGGGGAACAGGCAGAGGGAAGCAGGATTAGTCAGGAGGAGGGCCGGGGGGAGGATGCTAAGGGCCTGTCCAGAGGACCCAGCAGCCAGGAGCGTGGGCCACCACGCCGTGGGAAGTCATGCAGGTTGATGGTGGGAGGGGAGACGGTGCAGCGGGGCCCCGAGCCCTCAGTGGCAGGAGGAGGCGTGGGAAAAGGGGAGTCCAGCCCAGTGGCTGGAGCTCAGGGAAGTGGGGAGCGTGCGTGGGTAGAGGCGCTGCTCAGAAGCAGTGCAAGTGTCTGCTCCGGCTGCCGTGATAAGTTGGCAGCCTCCGGGGTGCTTAACCAACACACGTTTATTTCTCATAATTCGGAGGCTGGAGTCAAGAGCAAAGTGTGGGCAGGGTTGGTTTCTCCTGAGGCCTCTCTCCTTGACTTGCACCCCTGCCAGCTCTCTGCGTGTCCAGACTTCCTCTTTATAAAAAGAGGACGCCAGTCACATGGGACTGGGGCCCACCCTTATGTCCTTTGTTTGGTTTTTTTTTTTGCGGTACGTGGGCCTCTCACTGTTGCGGCCTCTCCTGTTACGGAGCACAGGCTCCGGACTCACAGGCTCAGCGGCCATGGGTCATGGGCCCAGCCGCTCTGCGGCATGTGGGATCTTCCTGGACCGGGGCACGAACCCGTGTCCCCTGCATCGGCAGGCGGACTCTCAACCACTGCGCCACCAGGGAAGCCCTTATGTCCTTATTTTAATGTAATCATCTCCTTAAAGACCCCATTTCCAAGATAGGTCCTCTACCAAGATGTCTCCCCATACAGCCCCGTTCCAAGGTTCTGGGTGGGGTTCGGACTTCAGCACATGAATGGGGTGGGGGGAGACACAGTTCAGCCCACAGCAAGCAGGATTTGGGCACAAGGAGGATGCCAGCCGCATCTCCCAGCTCTGACTCGTGTGATGGGTGTGTGGGCCGGGGGGAGTGGGGATCCTTTGAGGGAAATGAACCCTCTCCACTGGAGAGGGAAGCAGCCGGCTGGCGACGGTTCAGGTACTGCCAGGTGGTCAATACCCGCTGATGAATGCAAACAGGGGAGCCAGGGAAAAAGCTCCCGGAAGAAAGGCTGTCTCAGGGTCGGCAGTGGAGGAGGGGCAGCTGGGGGGACGGGGTCTCCGGCTCCCATCCCGACTCCGCTCCTGACCCGCGTCCCTGTCTCCCGTAGCCTGTAACTGCAACCTTCACGCCCGGCGCTGCCGCTTCAACATGGAGCTTTACAAGCTGTCGGGGCGCAAGAGCGGAGGCGTCTGCCTCAACTGTCGCCACAACACGGCCGGCCGCCACTGCCACTACTGCAAGGAGGGCTACTACCGCGACCTGGGCAAGCCCATCACCCACCGCAAGGCCTGCAAAGGTAGGCGGGGCGGGCCTGGGCCGCCCCTCCCCCCCCCACCCTTCTCCTCCGGTGTTTCTTTTTTCTAGTCCCCACGCTGAGATCATCTCACGCACGCACGCACGCCTCCCAGGTATCTGGAGGTGTAAGTCGGAACAAAGGGGCAGTGGAGAAACGGCTCCGGGAGAAGAAAGGAGGTGGGGTCCCCGCGAGGGTGCAGGGCTCCCGGGCCCTGCCCCGCCCCCTCCGTCGGCACAGGTGTGCCGCATACCACAGGGCGGGGGTCCTGTTCAACGGGCTTACCGTCGGCACAAAGGACTCTCTTTCACCAAAACCAAGCAGATGCATTTCTTTGGATGTGTGCGCACCGCTTCCCCCGCCTCCAGCCCCCAACACTCACACAGATGCGCACCTTCACTGTGATGTCGGCAACTGGGGGGCTGGGGGGGGGCGGGGCTCAGAAGGAACATTTAATCCACCTGCAAATAGTTTCACTTCTCAGGACAAAAAATTAAAGGGAGACGGGGGACTCTCTTTTTTGTTCACTGAAGCAAGCAGTAATGTTTTAACTTTCTGCTGTTTGTTTTCTCCCACTAACAAAAATGAAGCGATGGTCAGATGACTCAGGAACTGATAAAAATGCCAGGGAATTTAGTGACATTGGGGGAGGGGAGAAGTGCTCTCCCCCCACCCCCATTTGCTTTTGGGAATTCCGGGAACCAGGACTCTCCGGGTCCAAAACGTGAGGCCTAGCGCCACGGCTTCCTGTGAGCATGGCTTTCTGAGAACATATTTATCTTCTAGGGCTCTTGGGCCACAAGCCAGCATGGCTGGGGTCCTCACATGGGTCTGTAAAGACCCTGACACCGGAGAGACACAAGCCATGGGAGACTGATGCCCAGATGATGAGCTGCAGCAGGGAAACTCTCCTATGGCCACTGCTTAGCCTTGGATGAAGCCAAAGTATCGTCCTCTTAACAGGAAATCCACCAGATGTTGGGCACTTGTGTGCAGGACCGATTACATAATGCGTGGGCCCCGGTGCAAAATGAAAATACGGGGCTTCTTGTTCAGGAATTGCTAAGAATTTCAAAATGGCAAGCGGAGTTTCAACCAAGCGCGTGCCCTTCTGAGTGTGGGGCCCATGAGCCGGCCCTGCTTGTGCAGGACGCTGTTCTCCAAAAAACAGGTTCCCAGTCTGTCTCCTCCTAGAGAAATCCCTTGGATTCCAAATGAGCAGAGATGAATAGGATGGCTTCCAACACACAAGCAAGCTCTCCTTCCAGATCCGTGGGCTTAAGGCTGCCTCTGGTGGTTGCCGAGAGAAATTTAAGCGTAAAGGTAGCTGGGCTGTTTCCACATTAAAGAACAACTGATCAGGTGAGAATCCCCCAGGAGGCTTTGAGCAGGGACTGAGAAAGTGACCTGGGCAAAGGGAATCCAAGAAACGTCTGCGGTGGCAGGAAGGCAGGGGCACCATGGAAGGAGGGCTTTGGGTTTTCAGAGAATGTAGTTGGAAGGTAGCCAACGCCTTGTGCCCAAGTGTTTGTTGTCTCTCTTCTACTGAAGAAACTGAAGTCAGGGTCTTGTAAACAACTGGTTGCACAAAGATTTCGTGGGGATTTGGCCAAGAAAATTTAATCAACAGGGGCCAGTCGGGTGGGCAGCCCTGTGCCCGCGGATGAGAAGGTCTGGGCTGTGTCTGGAAAGGCAGTGGTCACTTCCTGCCATCCCAGTTTCTTCTGTCAGAGCAGGAAAGGCACGTCCCCTGGAGAGTCAGGAAGGAGCAGGGCCTTGGTCATCTTGCCATCTGCCTGCTCTCCCTTTCCTCTCTTGCCGTGGGGAGGGATGAGGGCCGTGTGTGGCCCTTCACTGCTGGGAGCCAGCTGTCAGGAGGCCACAGGGTCCTGGGAACCTGCAGATCATCCTGCAGGGCTCTGCCACTCTAGTTAAATGGTGTGGAGCTGCCGGCTTCCTTTGCTGGTTTCCAGGAGGGACAGATGCAGGCAGATGAGGGTATGGTCCTGTCTCATTCCAAATGCTTTGGCCAGCCTCCGTGGCTGGGTCCTTTCTCCCAGCCCTGGACAGCAACTACTTTGGTGGTAACGCTGGGAGAAGAACCCATGGAAGAGGAGAAAATGTAAGGATGGAATCTGCTCAGAAGGACACTTGCTTATCCTTCTGGGGAAATGTGGCAGGAAAGGGTGGGACTCTCAGTGCCTACTGATTGGTGAGGAAAGACAGTGCTTCAAGGATTCTGCCTCCTGATTGGTGAGGCAGAGCATTGCCTGAAGGGCCCTGCTTTGTGATTGGTGAGAACATACAATGCCTGAAAGATCTGCTCTCTGATTGGTGAGAAGAAGAATGTGACCTGAAAGGTCTTGCCATTTCATTGGCAAGGGAAGTCATCTGTTGAAAGTTCCAGCTCTTTCCCCTCAGCTCTTTTTTTCCTGGTGTCACCACCCCCTTAGGGGATGTGGGAACTTTGAATCCACAGTTCCCCCACCAAAGAAAGACCCTGAGATCTTGGTGGGAACCAGCTGTAGGAGTTAAGATGCCGGCAGGGGGATGTGTACCCTTGAGATCTTCAGACAGGTGTCTCTCCATCACCCCGCCCCCGAGGAGTCCACTGTCTTGTCTTCCCAGGGCCGGATGGTTTAAGGAAATGGTTCCCTTAGTGGAAGCATTTGGTCCCAGCATGGTTTGCTCTCAGGAGCTTCCAAAATCATGGAGATGTGGAGTCACCCCCAGCCCTGGCCCCATTGTAGCTCTCGGGTGAAGGCTATACTTCTTTGCTCTGTTTCAGATGCATTTCATGGGGAAATGGGACAAACCAGCAGCGCCTCTTGACTCAAGTTGGCCATTGACCTGAGGGTGCTTGGGAATGGCTATTGGGGCCCCTTTACCCCCACCCCCCGACCCGACTTCCCAGAGTCTGGGAGGAGCCCCGGGCAGGGGCTGAGGCCACCCATACACTGCTGGTGATTGGCTGACTCCCGACCTTGTTCAGTTGAGAGCAGGGTGGACCCAGACAAGGACAGCTTGGAGCAAGGGTATTCCATCCCAAACGTCATTATGCCGTTCCCCCATTTGGGAAGTTTCACAGCAACAAATTTGCTGGGTACTTTCTCCCCTCCCCTAGCTTACCAGACTGGGGCTGGCAGGGCCGGTGCACACAAAGGGCTGTAATCAACATGCCCAGGGAGCAGGCGGCTGCACTCTCCGCTATTCAGCGCGATTTCACAGCACTGGGAAGGCCTCATTATGGCGTGGGCTGTTGTCCTATACAAAGTCAGACGAGATGGATTTCTCCCCTTTCTCTGCGGAAGGGTGTGTGAATGATACTCGTTCTGGAATCTGTCAAAAGATAGGCGGTTTTGTTTACCATTTGTCTTCTTTATGGACTTGGGCCCCTTTCTCTTTAGAGCCGGCAAAGAAGACGTTACCATTTAACCATTTCAGCCATGCCTCCCTTTAAACGATATTAATTTATCATCTCCCCAAACCATCTGTGATGGATAAAGACATTCCAGGAGTCTCCCGTGAACCGCATTGTGATGAGAATGAAGAAATGACCCACCGCATCTAGCGCCCCCGCTCAGAGCGGCCTGCTTCCTTCCCTCGTTGACCTGCCCCCTTCAAGTCCACGGTCACCATGGCTGATGGCAGGCTGCTGAGAAGGTGCCCGAGTCGTCGGAAGATGCGGGTGGCAGTGGGCAGAAGCCTGAGATGGTCCACACCAGCTTTGCCAGGGCTTGCTGGCCGCTCCCATCCACCCGTTTCTTCCAGCAGCTCTGCCAAGGGTTGGGGAGGAATCGATCATTTTGGGCCACGCCCTGGCCTCCCCAGCCACTCTGATGTGTAGCCAAGGCGGAGAACCAGGGCGGTGGGAGAAAAAGAAATGAGTACAGTGACCTGCTCTTGTGCTGAGAAAGGGGATATTCACAGGTGACCTAGGATTTATCCTTTAGAGGGGAGAGCCTTATGTTATAATGGCTCTCTTGATGAAAACTGGGCAGAGGGGGGGTGTGTGTTTAAAATTGTGAAAATTTAAATCTTGCTGGTACAGCTGGGAGCTTAGTTATACAGTCTGATGCTCCAGTGTCCAGATGAAGGCTGGGATTGGACAGTCATTACTGCTTCATAGTGTGTGTGTGTGTGTGTGTGTGTGTATACATGTGTGTATGTCTAGATCTGGTGGTCTGAGGATTTAGTCACTGCACAGCTAGGAACCTGGGACCTCCACCCCTTCCTGACTCTAAGCTAGTGTCCGTGCAGTGGACAAAAGCCTAAAAGCCTCAGAGATGCCCTTTCGATGTGTGGGCTCCTCGTCACATTTCCTTTTCCTAGCATCATCTTGGGAGGTACAGGGAAAAGGTTTGGTCATCTTGGCAGGAAGGTTCTCAGTGGCTGGAGCGGCTCCCAGCTTACAGGGCAGGGACCACAAAGCCAGCACCCACAGCGAGAGAGGCAGTCAGAGGAGAGGAAATCCTCATGGAAGGGCTCAGCTCCAGCTGTGGCCTGTGTTGGTGCAGCCTTCCTTGTTCCCTGGGCACGTGGGGGTCAGGATCCTGATCTCCAGATTTGCTCCAGGCTCAAAGCCCGGAGAGCATCACGCAAGTCATGGGACCTCCCTGGACCTCGGTCTCCTCATCTTTGAAATCATATTCAGATTTACGGTCTCTGAGCCCCATACAGCTTTGACATTCCACATAACACATCCTCTTTTTTTAAAAATAAAAAAATCATAAATTAAAAAACATTTATGGGTCCCTGATCCAATAGGACAATGTCTTGTGTAAGTGAAGTTTGTGACCCGGGAACTTGGAAAAGCTGGCAGAGCCAGGAAATCGGGTGGAGGTGGTTTTCTCCTAAGGTCTCTACAAATGAAGAGAGTCTCCCATCTTGTGACTTGGCCCTTGCGGTGCCCTGCTCTGAAGTGGGGTCTCATTCCCCTGGGCCTACTTGGCCAGTTTCTTCACCTCCCTGGGTGTCAGTCTCCTTGTCTCTGAAGCTTGCTC